AGGTAGTCCTTCAGGATGGAGGAAAGCTAACGTTCCAACAGATACCCTAGCTTTCTAAGTGCATTGAGACTTTTTAAAACCATTGTTCTTTTAATGGAGGACCCTTTGCCTTCACAGGGGCTCCACCCTGGGCAGGTTAAAAGGGTGTGCATTTGCAAGCCGAGGGCTTTGAGTTGGGCGGCCACCACAAAAGCCCAGAAGCAAGCAAAGGAGCCATCAAAGTGTGCAACCCCATGCGTGTTTACCCTGAAGCAGTCAGGATGTGGCCAAAAACATCAGGGTGGCGCCTGCGATGGTGCAATTGAAACTCCACCTGTTTTTTTATCCATACACACACACAGACAAACACACATACACAAAATCAAGTGAAGTTCCCCTGTTGGCTGGGGAATTCTGGGAGTTGAGGCCCGCCTGTCTTAAAGTTGCCAAGCTGGAGAAACATGGGCTTAACTCATCGCCAGGTTAATGGTGTTCTGTGAATTCAGGCGGTCTTTCCTGGCAGAGGAAGGTGGCGACCGCGTGCAAGGAGCCTCGGGGAGAAACCTGATTCTTTCTGGAGAGCCCCAAAGCCGTGGCCCTCGCAGAAGAGCTTGGAAGAGAAGGACAGGCTGCCCGGCCATCCCCCAAGCAGTGCGCTTCCATGTGCCGCCGTGCACTTTGCGCTCTCCTGCTCTTCTTTGAACTGGGTTGCATCCTTGGGAAAAATGCAAATTTCCCTCTAGAACCACATTCTGGGTTCTGGAAGTAGGAGTTGCACGTCAGTTGCATTGAAAACCCAATGGAAGCATTGCACCTGAAGAAAAATGGGCTGGCTGGGGAATGCTGGGAGCTGAAGTCCACCCATCTGAAAGCTGCCAGGGTGGAGAAACCCTGCTCTAGAGAAAAGGAAATTCTGCCTTCCGGAGCAAGAGCACGTAACCGTGTTTTCCTCTCCCACTTTTTTCTGGGTTTGCACAACACGTTAGTCTAGGATAAAATGGAAAGGGGTTGCTTGTAGAACAGCACGTTGTGGGGGTCCAGACTCAGTAATGTACATTAAGCCAATGTAGGGTTTATTCATTCGGGCGCCACATTTGATGTGAGCCCAACCATTGTGGTTTTTTAAAACTGGGCGTAAAGCTGAGCACGTTTGGGCCTCTCTGGCTTTCATAGTACAGTATTAGAATCATAGAGTGTAAGTATTGGAATGACCCTGGAGATCCTCCGACTGACTGCCCCGGGGCAGAGATCCACCTGCAGCACTAGGAGGGCCCCTGGAAGCGGAAAGGCGAGCGATGTGCCACCGTGTTGCCTCCAAGGGGGATGCATGGACGCTACTGGCCAAGACGGCAATGCACTAACGTCCCAGTTGCTAGCTGAAGAACATACTGGCTCAGGTTTACAGAAGTTGAAGCATCTGGAAGGCACCCGATGGGAGAAGCTGGACTAGGCTTCACGGCCCTCTGCATGGGGGCAAATCCCTTTGGCCTTCTCTGTCTGCAAAGTAGAAGCCACGGTGCCCTACCTGACAGGGATGTTGTGACTGCTGGCACAATGAAAACGCGAAGACCTTCAGCCACTGAACTGGTATCAAAGCGGATCGTGATCTGCCTCGGTTTTTGGTTGGAGGTTCTCCTCCCTCCAAGCAGTTCCAGGAAAGGCACGGATCAGGACCTGTCAGAGCCCGGTTTCCAGGGGAAAGGTCACCACTGCGTTAAGACAAGGAGACTCAGCCTAAACACTGCAGAGAATATTTTTATACGTACGCTTTCTTAGCGCTCGTTCACTGAATCGTATTTATTGCTTGCCTTTGTCAGAGCTTAAACCCTGCCTCTGTGTTGTGAGCGCAGAACCCATGCGCATACTTTCAGAAAGGAAGGGAGAAGTCCTGGTTAAGGAAAAGAGGAATGGCAATTATTTCCTGAGCTCTAAAATCATGGCTCTTTGTAAAAGAGGGTGGGGGAGAGGGGGGCATTTTCCCCTTCCTTGCTCACCCCCCACCCCCCCACCCACACGGCACAGAT